ACAACTCTTTCAAGACGGGAGCCTAAATCCAGCACCTTGGACCACTCGGCCACACTACCATGGATCTAGAACAGATGCGACAAGATATTGGCAAAACTTTACATAACTGTAAATTAAAAACAGAGTGAGGAACATCCTAGAACAAGCTATAAAATCCTCCGCATCAAGACAAAGTAAATAAGACCAAATATTTTACCAAACCGTTCAAATTTTGGCAACTTTCTTAAAAAGAAAATTATTCAGGTCAAATTTGGCAGTGGTGAGATTTGAACCCACGCCTCTATTGAGACTGGAGCCTTAATCCAGCACCTTAGACCGCTCGGCCACACTACCATGGAGTGGCATTAAACGCGACAAGGTATTGGAAAAACTTTACTTAACTGGAAATTGAAAACAGAGCCTGGAACGTCCTAGAACATGCTAAAACTCCTCTGCATCAAGCCAAAATAAATAAGACCAAATATTTCACCAAGCTAATAAAGTTTGGCAATTTCCATGGAAAAAAACTATTCTGGCCAAACTTGGCAGTGGTGGAATTTGAACCCAGGCCTCTATTGAGGCTGGAGGCTTAATCCAGCGCCTTAGACTGGTCGGTCACACTACCACAGAGTGGGACCAGATGCCAAAAAGTATTTGGAAAACTTTACAAAACTGTAAATTAAAAACAGAGCTTGGGACATCCTAGAACAAGCTAAAAAAATCACATGCATCATCTAAATAAAACCAAATATTTCACCAAACTGTTCAAATTTTGGCAACTTCCTTGGAAAGAAACAGTTCAGGACAAATTTGGCAGTGGAGTTATTTGAACCCATGCCTCTTTTGAGACTGGAACCTAAACGTAGAGCCTTAGACCTCTGGCCAACAGTACCATAGAGATCTGAAAACAGAGTGTGGAACATCCTGGAACAAGCTACAAAATCTTGTGCATCAAGTAAATAAAACCAAATATTTTACCAAACTGTTTAAGTTTTGTGAACTTCTTTTTAAAGAATCAAATCATATCACATTTGTTAGTGGTGAGATTAAAAACCACAACTCTTTCAAGACGGGAGCCTAAATCCAGCACCTTGGACCACTCGGCCACACTACCACGGAGTGGCATTAAATGTGACAAGGTATTGGCAAAACTTTACTTAACTGTAAATTAAAAACAGAGTGAGGAACATCCTAGAACAAGCTATAAAATCCCCCGCATCAAGACAAAGTAAATAAGACCAAATATTTTACCAAACGGTTCAAATTTTGGCAACTTTCTTAAAAAGAAAATTATTCAGGTCAAATTTGGCAGTGGTGGGATTTGAACCCACGCCTCTATTGAGACTGGAGCCTTAATCCAGCGCCTTAGACCGCTCGGCCACACTACCACGGAGTGGCATTAAATGCGACAAGGTATTGGCAAAACTTTACTTAACTGTAAATTGAAAACAGAGCCTGGAGCGTCCTAGAAAATGCTAAAACTCCTCTGCATCAAGCCAAAGTAAATAAGACCAAATATTTCACCAAGCTAATAAAGTTTGGCAATTTCCATGGAAAAAAACTATTCTGGCCAAACTTGGCAGTGGTGGAATTTGAACCCAGGCCTCTATTGAGGCTGGAGGCTTAATCCAGCGCCTTAGACTGGTCGGTCACACTACCACAGAGTGGGACCAGATGCCAAAAAGTATTTGGAAAACTTTACAAAACTGTAAATTAAAAACAGAGCTTGGGACATCCTAGAACAAGCTAAAAAAAATCACATGCATCATCTAAATAAAACCAAATATTTCACCAAACTGTTCAAATTTTGGCAACTTCCTTGGAAAGAAACAGTTCAGGACACATTTGGCAGTGGAGTTATTTGAACCCATGCCTCTTTTGAGACTGGAACCTAAACGTAGAGCCTTAGACCTCTGGCCAACAGTCCCATGGAGAACTGAAAACAGAGTGTGGAACGTCCTGGAACAAGCTACAAAATCTTGTGCATCAAGTAAATAAAATCAAATATTTTACCAAACTGTTCAAGTTTTGGGAACTTCTTTTTAAAGAATCAAATCATATCACATTTGGTAGTGGTGGGATTAAAACCCACGCCTCTTTCGAGACGGGAGCCTAAATCTAGCACCTCGGACCACTCGGCCACACTACCATGGATCTAGAACAGATGCGACAAGGTATTGGCAAAACTTTACATAACTGGAAATTGAAAACAGAGTGAGGAACATCCTAGAACAA